TGTATGTAGACAGATCGCGGCAAGCTTTTTAAGATTGGACTCCTCGCTCAATCAAGGAATGTTTGTGTTAAATGTCAGCGTCGTAGATACAAATTTGCACCAGCGTGAAGTCGGAAAAAATAGAGGATCAAAGTGATTCCTTTTGGTAAAAATCGGTGTATGCCAATTGTCGGTAGCTCTAGTTTTAAATATTGCATATGTGCTTTGAACTATGCAACTCTGTAGAATGCCCTTGATTTTAAGAAGCCATGAATATAGTAACAAGTAAGAAAATTACATTGAGTCGTGACCGACTCTTTTATACCCATCACTTTTACCGTAAAAAAGACAACAATAGGAGAAGAACTATAATTTCATGCTCCGTAATATGGGGTGGGCGGAGCTGATTCTTTCTATTTTCAGAATAAAAGTTTTTGCCGCATAGATGTTGTGGCGTATCCTCTGAAAAGTTTAGGCGATATCTTTATTTTCGCTAACGGGAGAATGTTAACCACAAATGCTACGCAGTTGCGCAGACAGACATGTTTAAATGCATTCCGAATTTCAACTTGGCTAAGGATTCATATACCTCGTAGGATTTTTGAAGCCTGTTTCGTCCCCTTTCAAAGTTATTGAAGAAAAAATTAAGTTTCGATACACTATGATGCTGGGTAGGCGTGGTCAATTTTTTCCATTTTTATGCAGGTGCTGCAGCATCGGCTATAGAAGATGCGTTCAAATGGAGGCAAGGGCCTCCAATATATCTGCCAAATTTGAAGTCGATAGCTCCGTTTTTGCGGCCAGGAGTATGGAGGAGTACAACAGGGATTAGACAGACGGACGGACACACAGACGGATAGACGGATATGCTTAAATCGATTTAGGATTTAACACTGATCAGGAATATATGTAGTTTGTGAGGTCTCTGATGCTTACTTCTGGGCATTGCAAACGTTTTGACAACATGAATACATCCTTCGGCCTTCGGCGATGGGTATAACAATAAGAACGATAATGATGAAAATAATAGTCAAATAATAGTACTAATATATAGAGGTTGATTTTTTTACTTTTGTTCTCCTCAATGCATTTACGCTGTTCTGCGGTTCATTATCAAATGTCTTGTTAGAAAAGCAACTAAGAGTACGTAAGCCAATCTTAAGCACATAGGTACTTTTCTTTTAAAGAAACTGACGAGTTTCTGATCTTCGATTCGTCTTCCTATGTATTAGAAAGTCTATCATACAGGTGATATATCCGCAAGATTATGAAGATGTAAGAAAACCATATAGTAAAGTGTACTCGTGTCGTTGCATGTGTCAGTCTCTGTATTTTAAGATATACCTGACAAATATGGGAATATATATGAACGGACGGACCAATGTATGTGTAAATATAATTCTTCGTAATGCGACCGCGATTTCACTTCTTATGTTATTGACTTTTACGCTGGCGTTGATGAATGTGCGCGCCGTAGTCGAAGAAGTTGTATCTTTTTTTCTACTTTTTGCATTTTTTGCCGCTTTTGCCGTTTTTGCCGTTTTTGTGTTAACATTCAGAAAATTAACGAACTAATTGTCATTTTTTACAACATGACAATTGTATTTAGTAGTGAGATGACATTTACAAGCTAGTTTTTGTTTTCACTCATTCACTTCCTTTGACACTTTTTTCGACCGTATTGTCGTCATTCCTGAATTTTTTTCCTTTTTCCCTTCCATTTGTCAATCTTGTCGCTCTATGTTGGAGCCTCATTATAATTGTGCTGCAAACATCTATCTGTCTTTTTCTCTCTTATTTGATTTTTTCCCTTCTCTCTCTCCTGCGGGGTCGCACTGTAATTAAGTTTGTTTACTTATCAGGTTAAGCTGTTTTCTTACCACATACAGAATGCTGCAAAAATAATAAATAAAAAAAAGAAAAAGTGCTGTGCTGTGTTGTAATGCCCGAGGGTTGACAGACTAATTACAAAATTATGAATAATTATAGTAATTTGCAGCACATAGTACGTATGTAATTTACAATTTGTAAACATAAGTGAGAATTTTAGCAAAAAACAACTAAAAAAAAAAAAAAATTTAAATTAAATGTGAATTTTCAAGTTGGATACACTTGATACTTATATCCATTAACTGGTGCAAACGCATAAAGAATAGAGTCAAACAATACGTGAAACTCTCCTTACCGTCAACATATGCAATTAAAATGGAAACAGTTAAGACCAATTTAACTAAAGATCAATCTGTTAAATACGTCAACACTTGAAGGAATCTATTTATAAACGACACTACTACTACGCTGACAATTGACCTCTTTTTCATAGGCTTTGCGAACTTAAATTACGTCGTTTCGAATCGGCAAAACTGCCTTTGCGCATATGTTTTCCCTCTTACTTCGGACTGTTGCCTAAGTCCCATATATCGCTTGCAATCAACTAAGATGGAGGGAAGCAATGCAATCCTAATGAATAGTTTAGATTGTTCAAATTTAGTAAATAGAAATTCTGAGAAGAATGCTTGGAATAATTTCAAGGATTTAGAAAATGTAATAGAAAAATCATGCCAAACTCTTAAAGGAATTTGTCAAATTAGGAAAATATTTACGATTGAATGGCTTTCATTCACATTTAAAGAACTCCAAAGATTGAGAACACTCCAAAGTCAGGGAAGTCAGTACGCGCCGCAAGGCGTCAAACAGAGAGATGGCGAATGATGTCTAGCAGCTGCTTCGAAAACATGAATATAGGAGTGTTTTTATTCCTGCATCGTATTAGCATAAGTAATAAAGCGTGGATTGCTAACCACACCACGCTTGGAGCGTGAGAACGTGACGACAAGGTCAAGAGCGAAATTGTATATTTTTACTTCGATGGCGACATTTTCTTTATTCAATCAGATTATTTAGGTGCAATCTATTAGAAGCTTCCGGAAGCTGGTTAAACAGTCAATTTTAAACGCCATAAAAATCAAACTTATTACGCCTGACTATTCGTTCTTAAAAAATACTTTCTGCCGTGTTTCGCGAAGTCCAAGTAGATGAATAATAAGCAAAATTTTGTATAATTCCGATGCTTTGACAATGCACTTTCCAGCTTCTTTAGCTTTCCTCGGAGTTCTTATTATATTCAAGTAACAACTTTCTTGTAAAGAATTTTGCAACAAATGTTTTCACTTTACATTTCGAGCCATCCTTAAACTGTCGTCATTCAAGAATGCGGGGCCTAGCGGCTTTCAATTACATTCGCTACATCTTCACTGACTGGATATTGAATATAGCGTTGAAAGGAATATAACTTAAAAATTACTTTCCCCTGCGTAGTAAAAGGCAGGCTGGTTTAGAACGAGACAAAATGACTATATAAGTTTGATGTGTCGTCAATACTTGATTTGTTTGTTTCACTAATGGTTTATATTTGTCCAACTCTTAAAGGCAAAAGAATAACAGGAAACTTACATTCGGTCGTGAACGAACACTTTATACCCACCATTTTATCAAAAATTAACTTTCTTTCAATAATTTTTGAAAAGGCGCAGAAGCAAGCTTCGAAAAGCTCGCAAGGTACGTATATTAGTTCTTGGCCAGTCTCAAATTCTCAAATGGACCTAAACAAGTAGTGTCTGTAGTGTCTGTGGTGTACCATTTTCCCGTTCGCAAAAAAAGAAGATACTGCTCAAAAATTTGCAAGAGTTTGAAAGTGCCTCACAGAAATCGAAGAACACGCCTACAAAGCCCGCACGTCTGTACAACCAAAATTGAGGACACCTTTACTTTCTCTCTCTCTCGTTCTCTCTCTTGCTCGTTGCTCATAAACTACAACAAACACATCATGTAAATTTTCACAAAATTATTCTACACATATAGGCCGGTGGATATAATTTTTTACTTCCTATTTCTATACAAACTGCAGATCTGCAGATCGATTGAATCGAATTGCTCTAATTAGAAGTTTGTTTCAAAATTGGATTATCTAAGGCGATGACATTTAGGCAGGTAGACACTAGGAGACCTTCCTATACATTCATTGAACGTTCGCTGACTGGAATCTGCATATATATATATGAAAATTGTCGTGGCGATTCTGAATGATGAGCCTAACTTTTATGAACCTCGCACGTAAACGAGCAAACCTGTCCCAACTTGTGCTCTGAAAACGATAGAAAAATGATCGAGCCATTTCTCCAGCTACAACGGGCAATATATTGATGCAATTTTGGTACGGATGATGTAATTGGGTTGATCGGGAATACGACAAAGAATGTACAAGCATTCCTCAGTTTCAATAGGGAACTTTCTTGAGCAATATTCGTCTGCTTCCTGAATTCCGTTCGATCTCATTTACACTCTTTAGAGATTAGTTGTGGTTTTCAGATCCGAAAATCGTGCATAATTCAAAGATCTCGAAATTCATCAATAAAAGCAGTGAAAGAAAATGGTTTTTGATTTAGATAACAGGTCTTCAGTTTAGGTAGGAACGTGTCAGATGGTAAAATCTAGTGTGTGGCGAAAAGATTGAGTTGTCTTTTTCATATGATCAAAACCTTTAGAGAGTTAGCTCCCGAATAAAACATTCGCTATTCTTCTGTTCTTAATTAAATTTTTTAAAATTTTATTTCAGTTTATTTAGATAAGTTATTTACTTCTCTTAATTGTGTAGCTTTTAAATATTGATTTTTCTTTTCTTTCTTTTTTTGCTAATTTTTATAATTAACTTAATACATACATACAACTGTTATGTACATAAATGTATGCATTTCTATATACATTATATTAGTATAATACTTTTTATTTCGTAATTGATGTACAGATTGAATGCTCTTATCAAATATAATAATAAATAAAATAAATTAATGCTAACATATATATATATATATAAAAATATAAATATATATATATATATATATAAATATATATAAATATATAAAATGTATATATATAAGTATATATATAAATATATAAAAATACTAAAGCACATTAAAAATATTATAATAAAAAAAGTACAATATATATATATATATATATATATATCAAAGAGAATATATTTATAAAATAAAATAATTGGAATAGTTTGTTACATATGCACGAATAAATTGCGGAAAAAAAGACGCTAACGTTAAGGTACTTATTAATGTAGAGAAATAATCATGTGGTTTGTTTTAAAAAAAAATCACTCACTACAAATTTATATACATTGGGTACATTGGGTTCAATGATTCTTATTGGCTTTCCTTTCATAACTGCATTTAAAACTACACTCTTTGCATATAAGAAGTATAAACGGGAACGTTATGAAAATTAATGCCACTATATAGAGGGGCGCTCATCACGGATTTGCCAGTGGTGTGTATGTGTTTTTTGGGCAAAGATACTATCGATTTGGTAGTGGTATTTGTCATTGAAGAGGTGGGTGTGGGTACCAAACGACTGCGATACGATTCGCACGTTTTACGCGACCACACCCACATGCCTGTTAACGTGCCACCAGCTAATTGAAAGAACAAGCGTATCAAGGTCGGCCAGGCCATTAACACTGCAGGCGAACCACAATCTTCATATGTAGAACACACGGGCACAGTAGTCGGATAGCGTTCAAAAAATGTTGCAACTATTCCTATTAAAGTGGGCGTGAAAAATACTAGTGAAAAGATTAAAAATCTTTTACGTATCTCTGAAAATCTCTGATGACCAAATGTCGGCAACATTTGTTGTTGTAAAATGTGCAGAGACTTTGCAGTTCTTAAAGTGAAAAAAAAGCCCAATAACAATAACATTATTGCAGGAATTTCGACAAATCCAGGGGCCATGCACATACCCGTCAATTCGTTAGGTTTTACTTTTTCCATTAGCAAAGCCGCTATAGGGGGTGCCAGTGGTGGTACCCAAGCCAAAACATGAAACAGACCGGATTTTTTTTCTAACGCTTCAGAAGACCACTTCTTATGCGAGGAAAGATAAAAGCATAAGGCAAATATCAACCACCAGGTGGCAGCACATAAACTTAAATAACTTGTGGTAATGTAAGAAGCCAAGCATGGTGGCGTCAAGCTACAAGCCGGACTATGGGCTCGATTCATAGGATCTTCGAGTAACGCGAAAGCCCGCGATGAGTTATGAAATACTATGCGCTCCAAAAAGCAAACGCTAAATAAATTATAGCATAGGCATAGAAAAAGTACAGGTCTCTCCGGATAGCCAAATCTAGTCGGCTCAGCCCAAAATGTTACCAATGAAAATAATGTCAAAACAAAACATATCGCTGAGAGGCCTAAAATTAAACTTTCCGCTGTTTTTTTTTGTTGCGTAGTGTGAAATGCGTCGCGATTACATTGCGGAACACATTCATCGGCATTTAAAGGATTAACCGTAAAATTATAGGGACAGATCGCGGCCAGTTTTACAGGTTTTTGTATATGCGAAGGTAACCAAGGCCAATAGAAGTGGCCGCTAGAAGGACCATTGACTACTTGTTGGGGTATTTGCAGCTGACGATTTGGGGAATGATTTGCAGTAGCCAACGGGTCAGCTGACAGTGTTTGCTCTGGTGAAGATAGAGTTTCACTTTTGCTGTTTACGGTTTCTTGTGGTATTTGCATGCATAACTCTTGCTTTTCCGGTTGAGGTAGGTTTTCACACTTCAAAAAGTCCGGCCATAGCTGCATTAGTTCTGTTTGCGGCGAGCATTCCGTTTTTACGGTTTCACAAAGCGATTTGCAAGCAGTAACAGGACGTGGTACATCGGGTGTACACAATGGGAAAAGTGACGAGCATAGCAAGAATCGTGCTCGGTTTGAACAATTCGATTCGATGAGCGGCAGTAGCTTTGTAATCTGAAAGGAGAAGAAAAGTAATTTTCTATATAGCAAAAAACGCTTCATATTATTTCAAAGCAAAAACAAATTAAAACGTTATATTTGGACAAGGCCGGTCTTCAAATTCCATATACATTTCCCGTTATATAATTCTACGACTATTTTTCACATTAATTACATTTTGTTGTCTTACGAGGGCTCATTTTCTATTAGTACCCTCATATGACAAGGGAACGAAAAAATATACCTATTTGGTCCGAACTTCACACAGTAAACGTATGTATCATATCGCTATTTCCGACAAATTTCTATTATAAACATTGTATTAAAATTTTTATCCGGTTAGCGTGTAAAGATTTCTCTTTTCTACGAGTGTCTATGTGAGAGGACATTCACAAAATAGTCCCATCCGATCTAAATTATCTACATTTAATTACGGCGCCGACATACTATTCTTCATCTGTTTTTGTCGACATTGTCGATATTTAAAATCGCAAATTTCTGAAATGTGGCTTTATGTCGTAAATGCTAGTAGAAATGGTTTGAATGGTTTAATCCATTTTCACTAGTATTTCTCCTTGTTGCCTTAACACAAGAGCACGAAAGATTATCACAATATTTTGAAAATTGTAATCTATAGCATGAATATAGACACGTGTGGACGGACATCAGGTAGACATGTGCACAGACGTCCCCAAAAATGGATCAAAAAATGATTCTAAATCGTCGGCTGGAATTAAGGTGGAGTCACCCGGATGTAGAGCATTAATCATCAGTGTAAATGTAGAGCATAGTCATCAGCTCATTTGGTTAGCAGTTTCGTGAATATACTTCAACCGCATTATGAACGGCGTGAAGCGTAACAAATATAGAAGGTACAGAAAATAGAAAGCTGATCGGCAAGCTGCTTTCGCTTTAAAGCGAATTTGAGATGTACAGCGCCTCAACTGAAAGTTTAATAATCGGTAATAGTGGGCATGTCAATTCGGCTGAGCCTGCCCTGTTCCTGTACCGAGTTTTGTGGTGATTGTGGTGATATAATTGCTTTTGTCAAATTTCAAATCGAATCATTTTAGATGAGAACGAAAATTATATATTTATGTATATACGCACGAAAGGAGTGTTTCTAGTAGGCAACAAGATGGTATCCATCGCGTGTATACACAAATCTTTTGAATGAGTATTTCGAGATGTGTGTCATCTTTCTGTGGTGAGTGTACAGATTATGAAGATTGAGCTTTTGATAGCTTCCCTTGAATATCTGACATTTCGTCGTTACAGCGTTAAGTCATGAAGATGAAACTTAAAGATGAAAAGGTCTCGATTTCTAGACCTCAAAGAACAAGATTGCAATTTTTCTTCAACTAAAACAAAACAAGAATGTTAAACTTTCTTATTCTAAGCACATGAATAACATCCAGAGAATTTGTCTTTTATTACATCAATCGAACCAAAATCATTTTCTGAATCCACGTAAGCATTGCCGCCTACATGCCCTCCCGTTTATTTGATGTCCGTGAATGCATTTTAATGTTCGAAGACATTTCGATTAAGACTGACATACTTTGGCTCAAAAACAAACTCCACTAAAAATAGATCGGATCGTACGGTTTTTGGGACCATTCCCTACATAATGACTTATTTATGTGAAGATAATTTCCGATTTATGACATTTCTCGACGTAAATTAATGAAAACCATTATTTTAACTCATTCAATAGAGGTAGAAAATTTGGATCAAGTACTTTAAATATCTTCGTATATATAAAAGTTCGTAAAAGAAAATAGACGCTCTTGCGGCACCTAAGTCCAATGTTTAGTATTTCTGATAAAAAGGATGTCTTTATCTTCAAATAAGATAAAAGTTTTAATAGCTCACGACGAAGTGGTGTAGGGTATTTAACGGTCGACCTTGCTCGAATACAATGCTATAACATATTATAATTTGCTGAAATTTACTGAAATAAAAATATTCTAAATCAGGACAGAAAGAGAGAGAGAGAGAGAGAGAGACAGACAGACAGACACGTCAAACACAAGTAAGAGCACCGAACATTTCAGCATAAAGATTTCGCATATCGGATTTTAGAATCTGCTTACAACGATCAGAATTTGTGGACGACCAAACAGAAAATATTGCTTGTGGATTTTAGATCGATATCTACTAAAAGATCAAAATAATTGTTACAAATATTTAACCGTTTGAGTGAGAAGCAGCGCGATCGCGCTGTTTAGATTTTATGTCGAGAAAACCCAGAACATTTCGAGCATTACGGACAACTGGCGGCGCGTTACGTATTGTCGAAGTCGAGCGCTCAGACTTACTGACGCAAGTAGATCACACAGCGCCTTTAAACATAAATAGTATATTTTACAATAGATGAAATAGTACTATAATAATGCAATAATATATTACAAAATAAAAATTTTTCTTTTGGTGCTGTTTCTCTATAATTTTCGTATTTCTCGACAAAAAATTAAGCGCTACGGCGCCGCTTGGTATTTCTGGACATAAAATTAAACAAGCGTGATTGTCTGGGACTCAAACGGTTCAACAAAAAATTTTCAAGTGATGCGGTTTTATTGGTAAATTACATGCATTTTGAAGACCAATTTTAGGTCATCAACTGAAGAATTAAAGGGCAAGTTGCAGCTATTTTTCAACTTTACTTACTAATCAATAATGAGAGTGAAGAGTGGGGGATGCGCAGATGAACGGACGGACAGACGGACGAACGGACGGACGAAGGTATAAAAGTACACCGCCAACTCAATTCTGCTCAAGTCTGCTCAAACTTCTGCTTGAAGGTTATATTCGATACGATTAGCACAATTGGCTGATTAATTAGCGTTGAAGGCCCATGTTTAATGCACTTAAGCCTTATTGCGATATTTTGAAATTTTTCTTGTTTGGATTAATTTTAATTTTTTTTTTCATTCAATTTTAATACTATAGGGTATGACTTATGGTCATTTTAAAAGTTGATTCGCGGAATAGCACTTAGAGTGCACGGGTCCAATATTAGTATTGTATCTCAAGTTCCGCAATTTCAGCAATTTTTGGAAATTGTAGCAAAGGGGAAATTTCAACAAGTAAATCTTACTTCGATTTCTGTTTGCTGTCTGAGAATATATGTGTTCAAGCATCTCCGATGCTTGCGAAGGTGACAAACGACATGATGAATCAGTTTAATTTTCTGTTACGTTGATGAGCTGAGCGAGCAATCATAAAACCATAAACTGTCGCTTGATATGAAAAAAGCGATTGCTATGAATCATTTTATTACAATGTTACATTTTTTCCCAACTCTTTTTTTTTTTTTACCTTTTTTATAGCAGTAAAGTTTTCTAAAACGATTAAGGTTGGAATATTTTTTTAAACCTTGAAAGAGTTCATAGGAAATGTAGACAAGTTTCTGGTGAAATAATTTCGCTTTAAACTTGTATTCCTTAATTATATCTTTTTTTTTTTTTTCTTTATTTCGATTTATTGTTAACTATATAACTAGCGAGCATACATACATCTCTAGAAGGGAATACATTTTTTTCTTTGGCATTGCGGCTATATTTTAAATATCAAAATCGTTTCGTCTTTGTTCGTTGTGTTCAGGAGGGGTATACTTCACGTATGCAATGACATCTAGGCTGGTGTTAAAGTGCCTCTAAACCTTGAACGAGCTGGGCAAACACAATGGCATGCACATAACATGAACCATGGCCATTCGAATATTAAAGACGGGCTGACGGGCTGTTTAGCTGAAAGGTCAAGGGACCATAGTAGGTCCAGGAACCTTCTGTAGCGTACGCAGACGTTATAATAATAGGCTGATATCGCAATGGAGACAGAGGAACTCGCAGTGCCATCAGAAGCAAAACGCTGGGCACGGGCAAACGAGAAGACTTATAATACTAACAATGGGAATTAAGCAACTGGAATTAAGAAGGAGCTGTTCAGGAGGAACTGTTCATAATTCTCTCAGCCGTCAGTGTGAAAAACATAGAGATCTCAGATACTGATTCCGGCAGATTCTGCCAAGGGATGAGTAAATATCCTATGTGAATGCGGGGTTGTCTACTGTATTGGACACCAGAAACGTCACGAACACGTTATAACGCCAGACAAAGCATGGTGCTTCGAACCAAAGAATGTTACGCCACAGAAGCTACTGGTTAAACATGATACAATTAACGCATAATGTCACATTCGTGAAGAGTAACTTACGAAACTATATAACACATTTTTTTCTTTTTTTTTTGTTCTTTTGAATAAGGCAATGAAAAAACATTATTTTATGAACAAAGATATCCGATCAGGAAGTTTTTACGAGCGAAACCGTAAGCGGAATTTACGCAAGAGTTTGTTGGAATATTCCTGAGCAGCCATTAAAAGACGTATTTTCTTTTTTCTGCTTGTAACAGGCAAACAAGCTTATCAAGGATTTTATGCCTGTCCGTCCGTCCAAATAATTGCTGGAGCTTGCATCATCGCAAGCCGAAGAGTCAAATATTGAAAATGTGCATTTTTTGTCCCGGATATATGAAATATATCCCGGAATGAGAAATAATACGAATATTTTTAAAATATTATCACTAATAATTTATAAATAAAAGCACGTGTTAGTGGGAAATTTCTAGCCAATATCTGTCAGAGTTGTTAAGAAGCTTACTGCAAACAAGTTCCGATCGATCCGATTGATTTGCGAGGGAAGTTACTATCATCAATTTCATCATCAAATATATTGTTTGGATCGTGGCATTATTTGGGGACAACAATGCATACAGAACTTGTTAAAACTTATTTTGAAAACAGCGAACCCACAATTACGTTTAGTAGGTCATAGTTGTTTAAATGATTTCTTTGGTGTGAAGAAAACTTATCCGAGGTTCATAAAAAACCTGTGCGTCCACAAAAATTAATCTTTATAGATTGAAAGTGTCGTTTTTAAGCATGGAAATGGTCTTGTAATTATCTCTAATAGAGAAACATGATGGCTAACTTTTTGTGGCAAAAATAAGATG